TTTACAGCTTTTAATCAACCCACAAATAAATTTTTAAACAAAAAACAAGCAATTCTATTTCATTTACTCCCAAACTTTAATATTTAAGTTTACCTTAATGCAGTATCTTCTAAGGTGGATCCCAGAAAAATAAATTCTATTTCTAAAATTATAAATAATCGTATTTGTATCTTCTTTACTATTGAACAGACAGTTAATGAGTTTCTAGCAAACGACAATGGAATTGTAGTAATTAACCAAAAATGTATTTAAGTCCCAAGACTAATAACTCCAAATGAACGATTGATTATTTCCAACGTATGTCCACGTATTCCGCACAGCGTTATAGAAGAACAAATGAAAACCTTAAGTGTAATCTAATAACTACAATTGACTTTTTTAGGATAAGAATACTAAATACACAGCTTTTGGTTAACCAACATCCAATTGACAGAGTGGACAGCTACACATACCTTGGTACCAACATTAACAGCCAATGGGATCACTCCAGTGAAATAAAACAACGCATAGGAAAAGCGAGATCAGTGTTCATAATGATAAAGTCTCTTTTCAGAAGTCATGATTTACCACTTGCTACCAAAATCTCTCTTATTAAATGCCATGTATTTTCTTTCTTATTATACGGAGTAGAGGGCTGGACACTTTCCAAAGCTTCCTTAAGAAAACTCGAGGCATTCGAGATGTGGTGTTACAGACGTATCTTAAGAATTTCATGGGTTGATTGTGTGACTAATGTTGAGGTCCTACGTAGAATAGGCAAGGAATGCGAGATTATGAACACCATCAAAGAGCGCAAACTAGAATATCTTGGCCATGTTATGAGGAATGAACAGAGATACGGCTTGTTGCAACTTATTCTTCAGGGCAAGGTATTTGGAAAGAGGGGACCAGGGAGAAGAAGAATATCTTGGCTTCAAAACCTGAGAAAGTGGTTTAATACATCGACAACTGGACTATTCAGAATAGCAGCAAGCAAAGTTAGGATAGCCATGTTGATCGCCAACATCCGGAACGGATAGGCACCGTAAGAAGAAGAAGGATAAGGACTTTAAATTCAGCATTTAAGCATATCTTGAATTGCTGACGATACATTTTTATAGCGCCAACTAAATTACACAAATTACCTCATTCTATGTTAAATAACCATTATTATAACGACTATGGAATTTTCTTTTCCATCGAAAAGCAATTTTGCTACTTATGCAAGCAGCAAGGACATTTTGCATCTCTGTGTTCCAATAAAAATAATCAGACTCCTTCAAACAACACCCAAAATACTGGTCATCTAAACTCTCTACAGGAAGTACACACATCAGCTCCCTTTTCGAAAATTTCTTCTACACAATACTCTCCTACTGAGACTTAAACTTCAGCACAGCAATTAGCTCATTTGTCGATAAATTAGGCTTAAACGTCTTGAAAAATCATTACCTCTCAATCAAATAAGCATACTACGATAAGTTGCGACCTACCCAATGAGACTCAAATAGATAACTAATATCTAAAATAATATCCCTCCCTTCCAAAAGAGATAACGAACATGCCTTTGTAGAATTGCAGCCACGAAGAAAAAATCAAAAACTCAAGAAGAAAACAACAGAAACCTAGTAGAAGATCTTACTAAATCCACCAGTCAATTCTTCAAAGAAAACCCCAACAATAAATACTTAACACAGGAAGAACTTAATGACCTAATTAAATATGCGCATAGTTTTTCGGTCCTCTTAGTGTCGTCAGAACTTACTAAAAGGATATCAAAGGATTGATAGGCTTTCCAAAGAAAATACATCCTATAGAAAATAGTGACAAATATAGACAGAAACTATTATTCAAAAGAAAAATCATTTTATTCTGGCACAATCCAACCGGATGAAAGAGCAAATTTTAGGAAAACCATAACAACTGAAGAAGAAAAGAATAAAGTAAATTCATTTTAAATTAAAATTCCAGCTTATAAAAGCCACTACTCAAGACAAGATTGTGGGAAAAATTTGTTTCTCTAAATTTAATGATAGTGGCACTATATGAAGAATACAAGCGTACCCTATCTGAAAGCAAAACCGGTAAAATATATTAAGTTTTCTGAGGAGTTTCACAACTTTAATTTAAAAATTAAGAAGCCTAAAGTAGATACCCGCTCAAAATGTGATAGTTTAGATATGCAAATAAAAAAATGTTCCGAGAATAAAAATCAAGAGTTTTTAAAATAAAAGAATGACCACCTTGATAACGCTGAATATGCGTACGATTTTAAAAAATAAGACAAAGAAAATTTAAAATTTAATGAACCAACCAAAACTGTACAAAACTGTAGACTTCTATAAACGCAAGCTTTGGACTTTCAATCTAACAGGTTATGACTGATGTGAGGCAGAGGTGCTAATGAAGTTGGCTCATGTGTATATAAATTTATTTGTGAAACTATAAAGACTGTTGTAAAAAGTTTGACCATGTACTCAGATACATGCAGTGGTCAAATAAAGAACACTCATGTAGCTGCTATGTGTATGCCCTGCAAAATTTTACTACCCTAGAAGAGGTTAACCATAAATTTTTGGTACCGGATCATACGCACATGGAGTGTGATACATCAAACGCTCTCATTGAAAAAAAGAAAACAGGTTTTCCTGAAAACATTTTGTGGTATAGGAGATAAATCAAGATAACTTCTTTGACTTTGCTAAGCCGCTAAGAACCGACCTTTAGCAGCAAAAAGATAATGTTTTTGCAAACAATTTTAGCTGGAGCGATGTACAGTGGCTAAAGTTTGTCAAAAACGAGCCTGGAATAATTTACTATAATAATTACTTAGATATTAATCAACTGTTTAAATGCATTAATTTTAAAAGAAGAGCCAAAGAATCCATTAACAAAATGAACCCTAATATACCATACTGAGGACAAAATCCTATACTTAAAGAAGAAAAAAAAATGATCTTTTTGACCTGCTTCCATATATTTTACAAGTATTTCACCAAATGCTAGAATGCAGGGAAAGAGACCGGTTGGAAAGACAAGAAAGCGCTGGGAAGACGCAGTAAACAGTAACGCAAAGGTCCTTTTAGGAGTCCATGTATAAAGAAGATCAGCCACAGGCAAGTAAGGGTGGAGGCAAAAAATAAAGGAGGAGATGGCTCAATTTGGGCTGTAGCACCGTAGAAGAAAAATAAGAAGAAGAAGAAGAAGAAGCAGAAGAAGAAGAAGAAGAAGAAGAAGAAGAAGAAGAAGATGACGAAGAAAAAGTTCAAAAATACTCAATATATTGTATTCTTTAAATACACCCATTTCCAAAGAAAATATGTATTTTTATAGCCTTTTTGTTTCATTCTGTATAAGAAATAAATTTCAAATAATTCATCAAACAAGTGTTCTATAAAGTCACGTTTCTAAAACTATTCTGGAAACACACAGCTTTTTCGACTTTTAATTCCTGATTACTCCATTCTTTGAGCGCTCACTTTCGAGCTGCAAAATTTTGTTTTATTTAAAAATAATGAAAGTGTATTGCGGCAACCTGCATAGCTACGTACATTTGAAATCCTTGAAATGTATCTGACAAAGCAATTCCTACTCTTAGTTTAACAATGCAAGAACGTCTAACTTCACTGCTTTGTTAATTGCAAGACTAAGTTGAAAACATTTAGAAAATTATACCCCAGGAGTCTGTATGTTCTGGATTGTTTCGACAATTAAAGTGATAAGAGCAGAAATAACGACATATTTTAAAAACTACTTCGTAACTAAGACAAATCAGGATTTTGAGAAACTGAATAATAATTTTAATGTAAATTTAATGTATATATTTGACGAATTTGGATTAAAAAAACCTTTATTAAACTAGGAAATCCTTAATAGTTTACAATTGCTAAAAGTAATACATTATATCGATACCTTAATTCTATAACTAGGTAACTCCATATTAACTGATTTTACAGAATCAACAAAAATGATGCGCTAACCTTTTTGGGAATACTGAAATGGACACAACAGTTAAATAAAAATGTCAAATATTGTAATCATACATTTTATTATCAAATTAATAATAATAGTGACAATTATTACAAATAGTAGTACATTTTAATAAAACAAAATTAGATTATGTAACGTATCTACCTTTTTTTTTTAAAGAGATATCTACTTTTTGGTTCTACATAAGGGATATCTAAAGGAACTTGAAAACCCTAAATAAAACAAGAAACATTATTTTCTGTCAAAATAAAAATTGGATTTTGACAGAAACTAAAAAACTATTACCTATATAACTAATACCTATATCTATTCATTATCGTTACCGCTTGCATAATCTTCATCTATACAATTTCCATGCGGCAAATTTTCATAAAAAAATTTATATTCTACGTTAATTGCTGGTGGGTTTGATGTAAATAATGACATTAAGTCATTGTATTTTGCATTTGCATACATTATAGTGATGTTCAGATGTGGTGCTAAATATTTTCTAGTTGTTCATTCCCGACAATAGTGGGATTACACAACTGGAAAACGTTCTATGTGTTTTCTGATATCATCGACTATATGTTGCAGTGTACATGTGTTAGTACTATTTCCTCGTAAATCCTTTGACCCCATATTCATTTTACTTCTTTTTTTAACAGCAATGTCGACTACTCCCTTCTTTATAGCAAGTGTATTAATAAAAAATGTTTTACAAACCTTTGATCCCATATTATTAACTGGCAAATAAAATGTGACAGACGTTTGTCTTCTTGGATTTGTTTGTACTGTACGCACTTTTACAGGATGGATATCAAGGTTCGCATGTATAAAATCTCGCTGTCTGGTATAGCCACCCATTTAATAATATTGTTGGAAAATAAGTACCCTTTGTTAGTTCTACATTTCAGAAGACAGGAGTCCTTACATGGTTCTCGTAACATTACTCCTGGAACAAAATTACCTTTAACTGATAGATAGCTTCTCCACACGCTCATTGTGTTTTAGATATATTATTTTGCGAATTATCTGGGTTTTTCTTTTTTCTACTTTCTTAACTCGCTGAGGAAACCTTGCATTCCTGTTATATTGTGCAGTGCATAATTTCGTGGTGTTGTTTCGCCTTCTTCGATAATCAAGGCTTCATTTTTATCCTTTGGTATATTATTAGCAATAGTTTCGTTTTCTTTGGTAGCATGTTCACTATCTTTATGTGATCCATCAAATAGACTGAATTCTGAATCTGACTGTGGCTGCAGCTCATAAATATCAACTGAAATAAATAAAATATACAAATAATATGTATATTTCATAACTTAATAATAATATAGAAACAACGGGATAAAAATAGTCAGGCATTTACAACAACTTATACTAAAAATCAAAGTTAATTTGCATCGTTTGCTCATCGATAACATGACATCGCACCCACTTGACTATAAGCAGACATGCTTATCTTTATAAATAAACGTTGCAAATAACTTTAAACCTGAGTATAATTTAGATCGTAATTGTAATCTAATAAGATCAATTTCTACATCTTACCTACCCTTAAAAGAATTGCTAATTTTAATGTAATTTAAAATATAATAGTTACTTTCAAAAAGGCACATAATTATCGGAACTGCCACTCGAATACGGGTCTGACGTAGATAATCGGTCATCTAAATCACTCTCATCATGAAAAGCCGACACCGGTTCAGCCATTTTAGTAGTTTCCTCTAAAGTCAAATCTGCACTGCTTGATTAATCAGGATTTGTTGCTGAAGTACTCGGCTTTGAAAGTTTACCACTTTTTATTGTAGGTGTTGTCCTATTGAGTGTTTGGCAACAATGCGACCTCATAATCTGAGGCAATATGATAGCATTTCCCCGGTACCACCTATATCTAGGAGGCCTTCCTCTATCCGCCACCTCAGGAGGCGCCCGATGGAGGTCCAACAACCTCTCACGGGATGACAGAGAGAGAGAGAGAGGGAGAGAGAGAGAGAGGGAAAGAGCGAGAGAGAGAGGACTAGAGTGACAGATGTCATAGAAAATATTGCTCAAGTCTAATGGAGATGGACTGGACATGTAGCACGTTTAAATGATAATAGGTGGACCAAAAACTCATAGAATGGTGACCTAGAGAAAATAAAAGACACAGAGGTAGGCCACCAAAAAGAAGGATGGATGACTTGATGATGGAGATGGAGAAAAACAGTGGAAAATTCGATACAGATGGCACAAGATAGGGAACAATAGAAGAATATGGAGGAGAAATTTATCCAAAATTGGATGCAAGAAGTTGCGCAATGATGATGGTGATGATACTACAACCGAGGGTAAAGACATACTTAAACAAAAAAAAAAGCAGTATTAGATAGACTAATAGAACTGACTTATCTCGTTTTTATAAATCAAGTCGATCCTTCGGGGTCTTAAAGAGGCAAATCTATTAATAATATCCTCGTAGAAAATACGCTTCTGCATAATTTCATTCAACAGTTCTTTATGAAGTATGATAACAGTCAAACTGGATAGTCTATCTTGTCTAAGTTGTAAAAGTTTGTTGTAAAAGTTTTTAACCTTTTTAAGCAAGAAAAACCTTCTTTCTATGGAAACGCTTGTCGATGGAATTGTCAGAATTAAACAAAACAAATTATAGGCTTAATTAATTACTACTAAACTGGGAATAAGCCACAATTAAAGATAAAAATACGTTTATTGGCGTTTCAATTTCCACTTCGGAAATCGTTCTCAAAATACAAACAGTAAATTAAACAAATTTTGTTTTTTGTTACATAGTGAAAAAATTTTCTAATAATTTAATTTTATCTGACTCATTTATATTGACAATTCAGACATACATTATGCATTTTAAAGTAGACGACTTTAAAATGTTATTGCCAATATTGTTGAGTTGCGCTCCTGGGACGACTTTACTTATAAGATAGTTCATTCGATTACATGGAATCGACTTTAACTTGAGAATATCCGTCAGAAAAAAATCATAGCATGTAATTCGTCTTTAAAAAGACAAACACATGACATGATGAAAGTAAAATTCTCCTGTTAGTGATTCCATAGTAAATTATGAGGGAAAATCAAGAAAAAAACCTTATAATACTATCCCGACATTGTAAGTATTTGTTCGTGAACTTAGTTTACCTTCAACAAACATCAAAATTCTGATTTTATATGTTACGTTATTTAAAAAACATAAATGATGTATCCTCTATATGTTACTGTGTTATTGACTTACTAATACTGGTATTTTCTTATTAATAACTTCCTATTTCAATATTGGTAATCAGATCCTACTACATTCTGCAGAGGAATTTGCGACACAATTGGCCTCATTTAGCATAATTAGAGCCGCTTCTTTGATTTTTCTTTTTTTACCATGCGTTTCTTTTAGGACTACATTTGAATTATTCCATTGAACCCTATGTTCATTATCCCATGCGTGTTTACAGATTTGAGATCTATCAAATTCTCTATTTTTAATATAAGACTGATGTTCACTTATTCTAACATTTAATGGCTTTGATGCTTCACCTAAATAAAACTGATCGTATTCACAAGGTATTTTATTAAATAATAATACTTGTTCTAATGAAAATTCGTTCTTGGATGAGAAACATTTGTTAACATCTGTTTTATTAAAAAATGATTATGCTTTATCGTTTATAAATAAGGAATTTTCAACAATCGATCGAATAGAATAGAACAACTTAGAACGAGATGCTACAGCATATACAAGGAATAATATGAGGAAAATAACAATACCGTACATAAAAGGACTATCAGAAAAACTTAAAAGGATAGGAAATAAATTCAACATTTCAACAACATTCAAAACAACAAACACGTTGAATGAACAAGAAAGGACAAAAAATTGCATTTATAAAATACCTTGTGAATGCGATCAGTTTTATTTAGGTGAATCATCAAGGCCATTAAATGTTAGAATAAGTGAACATCAATCTTATATTAAAAATAAAGAATTTGATAGATCTCAAATCTGTAAACACGCATGGGATAATGAACATAGGGTTCAATGGAATAATTCAAATGTAGTCCTAAAAGAAACGGATGGTAAAAAAAGAAAAATCAAAGAAGCGGCTCTAATTATGCTAAATGAGGCCAATTGTGTCGCAAATTCCTCGGCAGAATGTAGTAGGATCTGGTTACCAATATTGAAAGAGGAAGTTAATAATAAGAAAATACCAGTATTAGTAAGTCAGTAACATATAGAGGATACATCATTTATGTTTTTTAAATAATGTAACATATAAAATCAGAATTTTGATGTTTGTTGAAGGTAAACTAAATTCACGAACAAATACTTACAATGTCGGGATAGTATTATGAGGTTTTTTCCTGGTTTTCCCTCATAATTTACTATGGAATCACTAACAGGAGAATTTTACTGTCATCATGTCATGTGTTTGTCTTTTTAAAGACGAATTACATGCTATGATTTTTTTCTGACGGATATTCTCAAGTTAAAGTTGATTTCATGTAATCGAATGAACTATCTTATAAGTAAAGTCGTCCCAGGAGCGCAACTCAACAATATTGGCAATAACATTTTAAAGTCGTCTACTTTAAAATGCATAATGTATGTCTGAATTGTCAATGTAAATGAGTCAAATAAAATTAAATTATTAGAAGAATTTTTCACTATGTAACAAAAAACAAAATTTGTTTAATTTACTGTTTGTATTTGGAGAACGATTTCCCAAGTGGAAATTGAAACGTCAATAAACGTATTTTTATCTTTAATTGTGGCTTATTCCCAGTTTAATAGTAATTAATTCACAATGCCACAAGAAAATAGCTTCAGAACAATAATAAAAATTATAGGCTTCTGCAACAAACCAATACTTGCAAATTCACATTTTTGTAATTTTCGTCGGCATAAAGAAATCAGAGCTCACTTTTAAGTCTTTATTGTTTAGTAAATTGTGTGCCATAAAACTCAAATAAGTAATTAGTTACGTCAAAATAATTCGCTATGGCAGATATGATACTGTGATAAACCATCTTCTAATTTTGTTACAATTCCTGCATTTAGTTCTTGGTTAGTATGTGAAGCCATTTTTTGAGGTTAATCAGAGTCAAGTATTCTGACAAACTTTAAGATTTGGCAGTGACAGTGACAGTATGTAAATAATAAGTATTTATCCTTTAAAATACACTGCTCAATTTTCTACAAAATATGCTTTAAGAGTCGTAACAGTTTTTTCAGGAACCAGCTGTATAATATTTTCTTTTTGCAATGCATACGTTTAAGTGATTTAATATAATAATCCGTAAAATAATTACTTACATACACATCAAAATTGTCAGCGATAGTACTCTAAACCTCAAATGAAACCTACCTAACTAATTGTACCTACTCAATAGTTACAATTTCAAAATAAAATTATGTCCTATAATCCGTACGCAAATTACTTTTTAAATTTATTTTACATTGCACAAAAAACACAATGCTTTAACATAATACCGCACAGCTTCAAAACATTAATGCAAATTCTTTTATGGTAATACCTTAGGAACTATAATTCCATCTTAATTGAATTCTATTAATTAAGAAGTGCTCTTAATCTTTATAAAATCAAATTGCATGGATACGCTGTTGGCCAACTGCCATTCTCGTTTTAGATCCCTGCTTAAAAGCCTTGATAAATTGGTTAGTTGGCACATCGGACTAGGATTCAGATAGAAATTGTTTTTACTAACATTTCCTTTTTATGGCGAGCTCTGCTTATTATCTCTTCGTGCCATTTAAATGATTTCAATGTATATAAAGTTAATTATTTTAATAGAATAGTTATTCCTTAATTATACACTGTGTGTCAGCCAAATGGAATAAATTAGCTAATAAATAAATGAGGAATTATTCAAAAAAACGGTTAAATACGTCGATAAGTATTTGTAGTTGCGCATTTTTTTTCCATAAAAACTTTTTATACGGGGTGTATCAGATAACGGTGGCCAATACCAACTTGCTTATTTAAATAGAACACTCTGTATATCAATTAATTTTTAGATTCCTTAGATCATTTTAGACATATTTTAAATACAATGTCCTATACCTATCTTTGACTGTTTCGGAAATATCAAGTAAAATGAAAAAATTTACATTTTAGAAAATGATTTATTTATCGAAAGTCGCTACCACTGTCTTAAACCTTCTTGCCCATTTAGGTCTTGGTAATGATAAAGTAAATAAAAACTATTTAAGCATTCCTTTTTATTGATATGTTAAAAAATTAAAAAAAC